AAAGAACCCCCCCCCCAGGCGTAAGATTATATTTGAACGTCTTTTAAGTAGCCAGATCAAGATACCTACCTTGTCATAACTCCTATCCGACAGTCGCCCCCCAAGTACGTCTCCTATGCCCGCCAATTCCGTAACCATCTTCTCACCCATCGGTTCAGTGACAAAGTTCTGATGTTTCTTTGATGTGCTGGACATGGTGATTCAACCTGAAGTAAAATCAATCAAAGACTAATATAATTAAACCACAAACAAGTTTTAAATCAGTATAAAAGAAATACATGGCCCAAGAACTTTTTGATTTTAAGCAAAAAAATACAAAGCTATATATTATAGCTTGTTCACTTTCGTCAATTTAAGTTTTAAAAAATGTGGTTCATTTGTTAATTTACCTATGCCCTCAATCCTTTGCAGGACAATTCTGCAGGCAAATGACCAAACATTTTATTTTTAAATCATCCACTAATAAAGAAAAGTTTATTTGGGCACTACGAAAACCGCTCTTTTTGGGTGCATACACTAACACAAGATCACTAAATTAAAGACGTACTACAGCAAATGCAGTGCTTCCACAGCTAAAGTTGAAACACGGCGCATCACAGGAGTGGGGGTTACCCGCTGAACGTCTTATCACGTCGGGGTCACGGAGGTCAGCTGCCTGTCGCCGCTCTGTCTGGGCTGACTTAATTCTTGGTACTTTTCAATTTATAGTTTTAGGTGTATCCTTGTCCTTATATTTATGGTAATCATACTTTAATGCATTTCAGCTCTTGAGAAAAAAAAATTAAAGGACGGGCATTGTAACTTGTCTGGTTATTTCGTTAGACGCTTGAAGTCGGCAATGCTAAATTGTAACATTTTTGGGACAAGTGTGAATGAAAAAAAATCGATAATAAAAAAATGGCATGAAAAAAACTGTTGAACTTTTGGAACATGAATGACATAACATTGGTGCAGATACTCAGAAAAGATGGTATCTGCGAATAATAGAAAGCTGTAATTTTGCAACTTTATCCACCTGGCACACAATTCGCTCAGAAGTAATTGCTCCAAATACAACTTTACGTGTCTAATCGACGGTGAAAGTCGCAACCCGTGTAAGTCTAAAAAAACATATTTTTTTCGCTGTATTTATCATCACAGTATTCACAGGGCCACTAAGCACATTCTGTTGTGATTTAAGGGCACAATAACCAGTGGAAATACATGTAACCGTCACATGAGCAACCCCTGTAACCTTAGTTTAGTTTAGTAAAGTTTTTATAAATGGTGCTCGCAACTGCATAAGGTCATATCAGTGCCAAGGGGTGGATGTCAACAGAGAAGTCCTTACAGGAAATCGGGCTTGCTCTGCTCACCTCTCTAGCTTCAACAGCACAAAGTCTGTTTCAACTATCAAGGCACCCCGGAAATAGCGGGTCACAAGAGTGTGACAAACGTACAAAAGAAGTAGAGGAAAAATTACGATAGTAAGGATTAGGAAAGAAAAAGCATCAGTTCCCTGTTGCAGTTCAGGCACAGTTATGAGCATGACATAGATGAAGCAGCTCATTTACAATTCTACAGTGTATAAGAACATTTAATGTCCCCCCTTTGGTAATGGCCTAAAGACACTTCAGTCAGTACCACCACCGGGGGGGGGGGGGGGGATTGTGTAACCCTTAAATCTGAATATTGACTGTGCAAACCGTGTAAGTCTGTTGAACAGTTGAACAATACACAGCCGTCCATGCTGATGAATATACCCAACTAAAATTAGGGAGTGCTCAAAGCTTGGGTTCAAGATGTATGTGCAAGGTAAGTCATCTGAGATACCAAGATATGGCAGATGAAACAATAGGGAAATTACACGTGCATATGACAATGATGTGTGAAAAAGGATCATTGTAAAACCGTCCGTGATATCCGCACAAATTACAGAACGAACAACAAAAGCATCCGTTTCCAGAAGACAGGATTCCCAGTCCCTGGAATACCACCGACAGGGCAGCAAAGGAAGGAACAGAGTGTGAAAAACTACTGTGTCTATCAACACAACTGGTGGGACACAGTGTATGTCCTGAAGTGCCCTAGTGAGGAGTTCAGAACAGATTGTCCAGACGTATCAGTTACAAAGACGATATCAGTACCTCTCTTAAAGAATCTCTCTCTAAAATACCAACGATGCGTTCTAACTTAACTGCAGAAAGGAAATGTCAAAATAGTACCATAAACTTTTTCTACAGCTAGAAACTATGCAGATCAATGCAAAGAAAACGTCAAGCATCGTACTAATGTTGGGAAGTTTCCTCTATCTCGACATGTATTTAAAAAGAAAAATCAAGGACAACAAGATATGTATCTTTCACCCAAGAAAGGATAAGTGTGACATTTATTTCTTTGCACATGACAAGGGCAACTTAGATTAAGTTAGACGAGGAAAAGTACAATGCTCATAGAGGGAAAAAAGAGGCAGTACAAAAGGAAAAAAGAAAGACAAAGAGGTTGCTGCAGATACTGAAGCTGGACGGGTGGTCATATATGGATGAGCAATGCAGTGCAACGTATACATCTTGCTAAAATTTTACAAGCTTTGGCCCAAATTTACAAAACAAAACTCCCAATTCAGAATCTTTAACCTTCGCACCCGTGTTGTCAAGCCCTATGTCTGGAACGAGTCTGAAAGGGTAACACGTTTGAGTCTTGCTTGGTAACCTTTCTTACTTTATAGACAAGACTTTTTAATGTATAATACAGTAAAACATGGCTATAGCGGGATATTTTGCTCCAGAAGAAAAATCCCACTGTAAGCGAGTTCTCGCTAGAGGAAAGCAAAGGGGAAATTACCCCAAAAAAAATTTTAATCCACATGAATACCTCACTTCCGTATCAATAAAATTTGTGCTTTTGATTAGTCTTCCTTTTCTTGTCAACTTAGTTGATTATCTTGGCTTTCAATTCGAGTGAGAAGCATTTCCTTTTGTCTTTGTTGGAAGCCATCTTTCCCTCGGTCTCGTTGCTTGAGATGTCTATCGTACCGGAAGGGCAACTGTAGAACTGGTGAAGTGGATGCCTGCGTATGCCTATGAGCATCAACGATAGCAATTCAATTAACCAGGAATCACACACTAGTGACACTACACGCTCTCCTCTTCTTTTACTTTTTGGCCTAGCCAAGGGCTATGGCCTATACACTCTCATACTGATCCTCTAAGCTACGGCACATCACTTTTGGAGTGCCTCATGTATCGCGTCTCTCCGCACCAGCTCTCTCTGCCGCCTGCCCCACCTCACTCATCACTGGACTGGCCATTCACAACGCCGCACCACTGACTGTCTGTTTGGAGCCTGCCGACAGCCTCCCAGCCTCTCCCCCCAGCTAGAGCTTGCTCAATCTCTTCCGCTGTATCCAAGTTCAGGCCTTTCCTTGCCCCGCTAAACCCAAGCACCCGGTAAGGTCCCGCTGTAGCGGGTTCCGCTGTAGTCGTGTTCTACTGTATTTTGAGATGGCTTCATTTATGAAACTAGACAGGAAGCCGTGGCAACCGTTTTGGGACACTTCAGGATGACGCACGCCAAAAACCTTCAAACAAAAATATATTTTAGAAAAAGTGTATACGTTATGGAAGTGGATTCAGTTCATGCAGCCACTGAAAACAGAATCAAGGGCGTTGAAAGTCACTCACCATTTGCTCACGTCAAGTTTATAAATGAGACTCTCACAAACCCTACACATATAATGTTCGGTATTTAAACAACATTAAATTCTTCTCCAACTAATTTACTTCAGAGATTTTGGTGTACCCGAGTCTTTAAAGCCTGGAAAGCATGCAGGTGAGGCTACTGTCACCAATCTCAGAGCATTGTAATATATCGTCCTTGTGGAACCATCCTTTATAAACTGGAGCTCACGGTTGACTGGGCACCTTTGAATTTGCCTAAATCCAACAGAGAAAGAGGATGTGTTGAAACTAAAAATAATATTAATAATCCCAAACAACTAGACACAGCCCATCTAAAGACAAAATGTAGTCCATGAAGCATGTTGTTCTGATTGATTCGTATGCATTTTATGATCATGATGCTTTACCGTATATTTATAATTGAAATGATAGCATTTAGTGGATATCAACTTAATTTTTTTTTATACTTGTGAGGCACTGAATTCCAACTTTTGTTTTTTTTAAATTGCAAATTGTGTATGTCACTACTATATGTGTTTGTGTGTGCGTGTGTGTCTGTGAGTGAGTGTGTATGTGTGTGGGTGTGTGAGTGTGTATGTTTTTGTGTGTGTCTGTCTGGATGTGTTTCAATGTAAGTGTGTTTCTGTGTGTCTGTGTAAGTGGGGTTTTTGCGGGGG